ACTGGATCACTGGAGTAGCCTTCTTCTTCACCTTTAAAATGACCGTGGAACCAACCTTTTATAAATCAGGTTTAAAAAACTTTATTTCAGAACTCTTAAACAAAGCAGACTACCTATGTCTTTTACATTGTCTGTTTCAGTGTTTCTTGTTGAAGATGCACAGAACTTCTATGATGGTAAGTACCTCAGAAATAAGATGATTGTTAAGCAGTATAGTTATTCAGAAAAGAAAACACTTTATAAATATTGTATTTGTTCTAAAACTAAATTGGAATAACTTCTCTAGAAAAATCCCCGAATAAAGTTATATATATATATACCTTTTACAGTGTGATCCTCCATGAAGAATTTAACATTTGTTAATTTGTCTTATACCATTAGAGCTTCAGATGTTAATACTATATATTTGAGGGACAAAGTTATTAAAATCTAATTTTCTTCTGGGTGTTGAGGAAATTGGAACAAGTGTTCATGGAAGTGGAGAGAGAAAAAATCCTCAGGTGCTATTTCTGTAGCAGGGAAAAAATAATTAGAATACTATGGTAATATCAGGCTTAAATCTTGGAAAAGTTGTTCATCTGCAATAGATACGGGGCTATTGATGAATGATCAAGGTAAACTAGAAAAACTGGTTTTATGTTTCTGTTGAGGCTTTTCATACATTTTCCTAAGAAATCTTTCATTTTGAGAGAGAACCCATATTCACACCTCCACTCCAGAATTTGTTCATTACGTGCAGTTAGGACTGTTTGATTAATTAATTGCCTACAATATCTCAGCCTAATTAATCTTCTAAGTAGCATTGTTTACTCCACTGAAGGCAAAATAGAAAAAGATATTGCTGTATTCCTACTGCTCAGGTTCACACCCAGCACAGCCGTCACATACTGTCCCTCCTCAAGTGACATTTTGGGGGATGAAAGTGTTTGAATGAAACTCTTTTTACAAGTCAGCCTTCCTTCCCCCATCTAACAGTAATAAATAAATTATAATGCTTCTACCCTAAGACCATAAAGTGCTGTCACCTGGGGGCTAGTGTTGTTATTCATGTTTTGCAAATGGGTAAGGCACCAAAAACTGGCATGACTTCCTATGGTCATATAGTGACTCAGCTGTGAAGAGGATTTGAAAGTCCTGACACCCAAATCTGGTGTGTTAACTACAATAACATCCTCCTCCATTTAATTCCTCTCTTTCCTTCTCATGGTCCCTGTCTCTCCACATCTCTTTTTATTTGGTCATCATTGTCTGTGCTGTCTTGCACTTGGGATCAGATTTAGGTGCCTAAATCAGTTTTAGGTGCCACTGTGATCCACAAATCCCCAGCTCAGCTGTGGCCTAATCTCACTCAGTGCCTAAATTTGTGCTGGGAAAGTCCCCGTAGATGCCTATGTTTCTGACTCTGGGCACATGCACTGCAAGTGTCAGGATGCCTATCTCTTGCCTAAGCCTCAGCATAATCCAGAGGCCAGGCGAAGATAAGCAGGTGAATGCCTGTCTTCTTTGTGGGGCCTGAACTGGAAGGTGAGCTCAGAGGTTGTCTACTGGATTGTGTCCCATTAAAATCTGGCTAGAGGAGGAGATGACCTTATAACTTCTTTTAGCTCAATGGCTAGAGATGTAGGAGACCCAGATTCATTTCCTGCCTCTGCCTGATTGGGAGAAGGGATTTGAACAGAGGTCTCCCACTTCTCATTGAGATATGGCGTAGTCTGTTAGGGGGGTGGGGTGGGGGAGTCTCCTTCAGTCTCTCCTGTTGAAGCTATTCCAGTTTGGATAAGTACTTAGGCTATGTCTACACTAGAGAGTTTATGGTGCCACAGCTGTACCGATGCACCTGCACCACTGTAAGATCTCTCATGTAGCCCCTTTGTGCTGACAGGAGAGAGCTCTCCAGTCAACATGATTAATCCACAACCAATGAGTGGCGGTAGCTATGTTGGTGGGAGAAGCTCTCCTGCCAACATAGCGCTGTGCACATTAGTGCTGATGACAGCGTAACTTATGTCGCTCAGGGGGATGGAATATTCAGACCCCTGAGTGACGTAAGTTTTGCCGACATAAGTCATTGTGTAGACATAGCCTTCCTTAGTCATTGTGCCTGAGAGAGAACAGTGAAAATGACTCTGTAACCTGGTGGCTAGAGCACCCACCTAGGAGGTGAGAGTCCCAGGGTCCAGTCCCCCAGCTAAAGTGATTCTTTGGATAAAAATAATTAAAGTAAATCAGATTCCACGGAAGAGATTGAGGGAGAACCCCCACATCAGAATATCCCATAGCGCTCTCCTGAGAGGTGGGAGACCTCGTGTTTACATCTTTTCTCCCTGTCTGGCAGGGGGGAATGGAACCTGGGTCTCCCACATCCCAGTTGAGTACTCTAACCACCTTATAAAAATTTATAAGGTGAGTGCTGCCACTTCCTTCTCCAGCTGTTGTGTGGAGTGAAGCAGGCACTTAACTAATTCCCACAAGAAACTGCTTAGGCACCTAAGCTCCAGGAGAGGGATTTCCAGCTATGGGTCACAAGTGACTCCCTGCAGCCAGACTTAAGCACCTCATTCCATGAGAGGAGTGAGGCTTAGGTCACACCCCTGTTGTTGGCATTTCCCATTGGCTAGTTTAGGCAGCTACCCCCACCCCTGGCAGGCTGGCTTTTGTGGATTTCACTCCTAGGCACCTCTCTCTCCCCATTCATTGTATGAGACCCTAGGTGCCTAACTCAGATTTTGTGGATTCCTAGTGTAGTTCCAGTGATTTTCTTGGTGCCTAAAAGTTAGGTGTTGCAATGCCTAAGCCCCTTATGTAGATCCCAGCCTTGGCCCTTTCTCTGCCACTTTATTTGTTGGCCTATTTCCTGCAATGGACCAGTCTCCCTCTTCTCACTTTGCCTCCATCCTTTCTCTCCCTGAACTTTATTGCATTCCCTGTAGCCATATCTTCCTCATGCCATAGGTGCCTCCAAGGATGGAATGCTGCTGCTTAGGAGCAGGAAGCAGCACTGCTGGTTATCTATTGCATCCTGCTCCAGTGTGCTGCATTGAGATGCAGAGTGGGGGATGAGGGAGCCAACAGAGGGAAAAGTGAATCTTTGGGGGTAATGCCCATGAGTAGCGTTTGGTAGCTGGGAGAAGGAAGTGAAGGGGGAACCTTGTTCACTGGCTGCAACCCTGCTATGAGTGATGTTTCAGCTAGTAAGAGTGAGTGTGTGACAACGTGGGCATATGGGTCACATTTGTAATACTGACTGGAAGCTCTTTGGGGAAGGGGCTATCTTTTCGTTCTGTGTTTGTAAAGTGCCTAGCACAGTGGGGTCCTGGTGCATATTTTGTGCTCTTTTTAAAAAATAAATTTAGTTCCAAACAACCATTTTTTTCTTATAGTAGACTGTTTGGACTTTATAATTGTGTGTGGGTCTGTTACATCAGGATAATGATGATGCTGAAAGAACAATTTGTCTAGATTAGGTAGTGCTTTCCACTTCTGAACATCATTTATTTGTTTTTGGGTCTGTTTTCTGAAATTCTTTAAGTGCTCTTTTAACCATATTTAATTAGACCAAATAATGCTCCATGGAGCACAGACACATACATAACTAGGAATGGAGTGGTGGGAATGTCTGCAAAAAAAAGGGCATGCAATTTAGCACAAGTTCCATTGGAGTATTAACATGCTGACGGTTTTTGATTATCTCTTTACAAAGAAGTAACCAACCATATGATCACTGAAAATTACTGTGGTGAAATATTCTGAAGATTTGTGAACCTTGGTTAAAAAATTAAAAAAGAAGCTTTTTGTACTCTTCCACAAGTTGCTGTAGAGCTTCATTTTAAAAATTATATAAATAAAGGAAGGATTAGAAAAGGGACTAAAAACAAACAAACACTATCATGTGGTGATATGTGTCTTCATCACTGCATAATTTACCTATAGTTCTGTGTAAAAGTAAACCTACACATGGTTATAGATTGATACAAATTATTATAAATACCACAAATTTCACACATCCCACAAAATGCTTAGGGCCAAATTATGGTTACCACTGCAAGGGTGCGCTGCAATGGCAAATAGTGTCTGGAGACTGGCGGTATTTTAGAACAGATCATAATAATAATGCAGCTGTGAGTGCAAGGGCAGATAGGGGAGATGAAGCCCTGCTTGCTGTACTAAGGAAATGGGTTGGGGACATAGGCAAGCCATAGCTTTCCTTCCCCCCCAAACACACTGGTTAGTACCTGGAGACTAGTGCTGGGACAGGGAGAGTGCCTTTTGTACAGGTGTAGTAAGTGCCCACTGCTTGAATGCACTTCATAGATTATTCCTCATTCTGCACTAAGCAGAATAAGGCTTCCAGGTCTGCTCACGCATATTCCCTGTCAGCCAAGTATCCCATTAACTGTCACTGTAAGAGATGTAAGTTAGTCTGTAACCTAGTAGAGCGTTTGTGGGCTAAATTTTAGTCCAACAGTATTAGCTTACAAATGCTATTTCTGTCATGAATCACTAGCAGAATTAGGCTTAAGTTCCCTTCTGCTGTAGCAGAGAAATGTACATTTATGTGTTAACACCAAATTGTGTATAATCTTGTAAATCATATATTAACAGTACCACAAGACAACAACAAAAGAGGCTTTTAACCTTCAACCTTGTGCTGATATATCAGATGCAGACAAACTGGTTTCAAACCAATGAGCAGATGCTTTCTGTTTTATTTGTCTTTTATATTGAAAGGTTATTGCCGTCCATGTTTTAAAAGTGTGTTACACTCTGAAATGTTTAAATAGGGATGTTTGGATTAGTGGTGTCTCCTGCAGATAGTATAAGGAGCTCAGTGGTTAAAACTCATTCCGTGTGTACAGGAGGTGCCTTGCATGTTACTGAATTATTTAGTCCTACAGCATGTACTCTCTTTCCACATGTTTTGTTGAAACTTTAATGAATTCTAAAAACACTGTTAATTAAAGTGGTGGTTTGTATAATTGGAATTTGCAAATGTTTTACAGGTAAAACTGGAGTACTCCTTGAGCCAAGAATTCACGGTGGAGAATGTGCTTGCAATATTGCCTGCATTTCCCAAGGGTGCCCCTCAGCAACGGGCCAAAAGGGCTGCAGAAGCCCTGGTGAAAGCTTCTAATTATTCCAGACTAATGGCAATACAACAGGTGAGGGAATATTGCTGGGTTTACTGAAGTTTTAATTTTTTTTCTGCATGTGTAGTTTTTTTTTAAATTGCTTTTGACTCCCCTGAAGCTCCTGTTGTGTTGGCTTTGTTCCACTGGCTGGTGGTGTAGCAGTGGGGGGTGGTGGTAAAGCAGAGAGAATACAGGCACTGGAACAAGGGTGCAACATTTCAGAAAAGGCTCCTAGCTCTAGGCCAGCCAAAATCTGATTCTTTGTTTTGTTTTTCCACATGTGGCCCATTTGTACTTTCTGTATGTTTATATATACTAGATAATGTTTCAGTATAATGTCAATTATTTTACATTGAATTGTCAATATACTTTTTCAAAACATTTTTACAGCTTTTCTGATAAAGAAAAGTATTTCAAAATTATAAATAGCTATAGAACCAAGTATTTTTAATACCAAGCTTTATTTTGCATTGATCAAGGGAAGTAAAATGCTCTCCCATAAATAAATGTTACCACGTGTGGAGCATGTTTATTTTTTAGCCTCTTGTAGATTTATAGGTATTGTTGGATATGCATAAAAAGGATCCATTCAGGATCATTGCACTGAATCTGTTTAACATTAAAATATATCAACAAACAGTAAATTCAAATATTTGAAAAAGATTGACTCCAACTCTCTGTAACAAGAGGGAAAAGATAACTAAAATTGTTTCCATTTTTTTCATATTGTCTAATGTTTGCAAAGCTGAAATTAACAATATGAGACATTAGCAAGTTTAGAATTAAGACCATCAGAATGTCAGTCTTCCTGGTCTGCCAAAGCTTTTTAACCTCACATCTGTTGAGAGCTGGTATTAATGAGACACTCTGTTATTTACACAGTCAATTTATGGATTTATCAAAGTAGAGCCTGTCTAATTAATTAGATTTCATGGCAGTTCTGTGAGAAGCATTAAGAGTGCTTTAAGTAATTAAACTTGTGACTTGTTAATATTATGATTGGAATAATATACAGTCTGTTTTGGTCTGGATTCAAAAACTGAAGCATGAGTTTGATGAGGCAGTGTTTAAACAGTAAGCACTATTAGTCTTCAATATTATTTTCTCATAATAATATAGTAGAGTTTAGAGGTTCCAAGTCCTAATCAGAGCCCATTGTTGTAGGTCCTGTATAAACTCATAAGAAGAAACAGCCCTGCTTCTGTCTGGACTTTTATGTGTATGATCTGTGGAAGTTCCACACTATAGGCTACAATAATCAGATTTTACGGCTAGTAAGTTCCCGTTCTACTTAATATTAAAGAAACAAGTTATCTATGTTTGAGCACAGATTGAACAGGAAATGTGTAAAACGATATTTGAGGAGGGTTATAATACTTGTATTTACACCATAGCAGTTAAAAACAGCCTGAGAAACTTGATCTTTAAGCTTTTATGTATGCATTCATTTAATCTGAATTGCTTGTAATCTTATTCATAATTGCTGTGTTATTAAAAGGTTGTTATTAAAAGGTTTAATTCTTCTACGTACATGGATGCAGAAACAGTATAGAAAAAGACAATGTGTGCCTTAACTTATCTCTGATGTTTAATGCTTGTAGATTTCAAAGAATTGCTGCACAATAGGAATTGGTTGAAAAAACCAAAGAATTTATTTATAACTTCAAAATTACAACAAAAGACATTTACTGCGGCACAGTATTATAGCAAAGTATAGAAAATTGCATAATGTTTTGATTTAGGAGGAAGATGCAAACGCATAAATGTTTTCCAGTTTCCCTAGCTTTAAACTTTAAATCTAGTCTTTTTTTCCCCAGTAGCTCTTTTGTGAGAGCAATCAAGTTATTTTGAAACCTACCAGGGAATATAATGAAAATTATATCAATATATTCATCTTTAATAGCAGAAGCTTTCTTATATAATTAGTATTAGTACTTATTATATTTATACCATTATGGATGGGTCAGTATCTAGATAGCATGAATGACTTATCTCTGATAATCCACCCTAGTGGTGCTCTTTCCGTACATTATTTATGTCATGGATCACATAACCGAGTAGCACAATGTTGAAGCTCTTCTTGTTTCTTAATATTTTGGAGCATACATGTAAGCTGCTGGGGCCTGGGCAGCCTATCTAGTGAGTGGAGCAGGACCTTGCCTGGTGGTTGTGGTGGCAGTTTGGGTAAGGACAAGTCAAGATCCAGGGATCAGGCACCAAGGGTAAAGCCAGAGTCAAGGGCCAAGTCAAGTTCAGAACTGGAGTCAGAAGTTGAAGTCTAAACTGAAGAGTAAGCTGGAGTCAGAGTCACGGATGTAGCCAAAGCTAGGAGTCAGAAATCAGAATGGATAGGGAGGCTGGGGCTGGAGCAGGAGTAGGACTTGAGCAAGGCAGCGGAAGTGAGAGCAGGGTAAGCACAGCTGCAGGCATGGTACACACTGAGCAGCTGCAAGACTCAAGTAGCAGACTACTGACTCTTGTGCCCAATCAGGAAGCACAACGGTTTGAGGGGGCTCACTGGACCCAGCTGTGCTTGCGGGGTTGCCTAGTGACCTTGCTGGGAGCCAGCTGTGCCCTTGCCAATACAGTGGCATCTCCAGAACTATCCATTATTGATTCCCAGAGAATTCTTCTCAAGTCTTTGAAGTATCTCCTTGTCCAACACTGACACTTACCATTCACTCTTGTCTGCTATTACCATGCTTTGTCTGCTGTTCCTAATACTGTAAATTTGTTACGACTCCCCTAAATATGGTATCAGCCTCAGATGAAGAAGGTGGTGAAAAAGAATTGAGAAACTGATGGTCAGTTTATGATGTGTTTAGTAGCAGTAAAACTCAGAATACTACTGTGTGATCTGCTAAGTATAAACAAAACAATTAGTCCGAAAGGAGCAAGTCAACGTCTGGAGGACAGAACTGTAATAAACGCAGGCCCTGATCCTGCAAACACTTAACATGTGTGCTCATTGGGACTACTTACATGCTTAAAATTAGCACTTAAGTGTTTGTGGAATTGGGGCCTTGCGGTGGAGTCTATAGATTGGCCAAGAATATAATCACAGCAATAGATATTGGTCAGTAGTCTGCAAGAAAAGCAATGGAATCAGTTTGTATGTTAATTTCATGTTTTCCTTGGACCTCAGTAAGTGGATAATCATGAAGGGGCTATAATAAAATAGATACGTAAAGAAATTAGGTAGTTCAGAGAAGCACACCCATGAAAGGATTAGAAGTCTGAGCAGTGTCGGCTCTAGTATATTTGCCACCCCAAGTTCCGAGAGCGCAACTGCCCAAGACAAAAAAAAAAAAAAAATCGATGGCTGGAATGCTGCCCCTGAAATTGTGCCGCCCCAAGCATGTGCTTGCTTTGCTGATGCTTCGAGCTGGTCCTGAGTCTGAGATTCAACAGGGGCTAAAGTCTGAATTTGGTATTGCTTCAATGCCATTTACATTTTTAACTTGGGAGAAAAACATCTTTCTTTTGGTTGCTAACTGTAGCCAATTCCAATCCTTTGGTCTCCATTAAGAGGATTTTTTAAACTAAATTTCTCATGAAACTGTACAGCCTCAGCACATTGTTGTATGCAATGTTGTATCTGTGTATCTGGCCCCAGGATATTAGAGAGACACAGTGGGTGAGATGGTATCTGTTATTCGACCAACTTCTGTTGCTTTCTAAAGCTTGTCTCTCTGACCCACAGAAGTTAGTCCAATAAAAGACATTACCTCACCCACCTTTTCTTGGCTTCAGAACAGTCAGTTGTATTGATTTAGGTTCCAGTTCAACATGCTTAACATTTGCATGTGCTTAAAATTAGGCACCTTTCCTAAATGGGCATGCTGTCCTGACCGGAGGTCTAAATATGTAATTCAAAACATTTTAAAAAATTATTTCATATTCGTTGTTCTTAAACCAGTTATTGCAAAATGTGTTTTGCTGAAATCATTTGTTACAAGAATGATTTTACTGTAGGAAGAAAACTACATACACTTTCTCATGAGTGCATCTGATCGATATTTCTGAATGCCAAAACACCTGATCAAATCCTTTAAATCCTTGTCCTTAGACTGGTGTTATATGGGGATGTGGTATAATCAGTGGTGATCTGGAGCTGGTTTGCACCGGTTCGCGTGAACCGGTTGTTAAATTCAGAAGCCGGTTTAGAACTGGTTGTTAAGGGTTGGGCAAACTGCAGCCTGCGGGCCACATCTGGCCTGCTGGACCATCCTATCCGGCCCGCCTGAGCTCCCGGCTGGGGAGGCTCCTCTTGAGAATCCCTTTTTACTCACCTGGCGGCACTCCGGGTCCTTGGCAGCACCCCTGCACCTGAGACAGAATTAATTATCTAGACCATTCCTTACAGGTGTTTGTCTAACCTGCTCTTAAGAATCTCCAATGATGGAGATTCCACAACCTCCATTATTGCCTTTATTATTTATGATGCTATGTAAATAATACTAAAATATTCAATATTTTGACATTGAATTATGTAACAGAATGCTCTATTACTAACAAGAAACAGTAGAAAAAAATAACAATCCAGATGTACAACTCTCCAGAAACACTTGGGTTTGATGTTTTGAACAGTGTCTCTGAAACTGAAAATTTATTGCATATAAAATACCTTTGGGTGGTTCATGTATATTCACTTAATACTACACTCTTGGGAAAGCAGTTTTAGAGTTAGAGAGTGGTAGCCACTCCAGAGCAAAGGACGAAGCCAGCTTTTTGTTGTAGGCCTAATTATTAAGCAGCCCACTCTCCCAGTCATCTTCCCCCAAAACAAATAAGTCCCCCCTGAAACTTCCCATGTCACATTGCATCCCACAGCAGAATTTATCTGACATTTGGAAAAAATCAAGATGTAACTTCTTAAAGTCTTAATGTTATTTTTAAAAAAATCTCTGTGATTGTCTATAAAAAAAACCTCTAAATATTTTTGGCTCCTCAAACTTCCAAAATGTTTTAGACTACACACTCCAAAATTTCACATTTGGGCTGTTGACTTTACAAGGGAGGAGTGCAGC